CTGGTTGGGTGTGAACCCAGGGTGGTGGCAGAAACCCCTCTCCTGAGACTCGGGCTGCCGCAGAGGGTCTGCGACGGGGGTCCCAGTCTGCGCTGCTGCCCAAACAGAAGCAGCCTGGGAAAAGAATGCCAGGGCAAGGCGCAACCCGCCTGGGCTGCAATGCTCGCGAAGGGCACTAGAGGGCAGCAAAGAGACACCAGCCCCGGGCCCCTAGCGGAGCCTCGGGGTTCTGCAGCCCAGAGCCGCCCTTCCAGAGGGGCGCCTCTCCCCCTCCTCGTCCTCCCACGCCGGCCGCAGCCGCCTCCCCAGGGCCCAGCCCCGGCCCAGATGGCGGGGGGAGCGGGCCCCCGAGGCCCCGGCGCCGCCCCTTCCCCCCGCCCCCGCCAGCCCTCTTCCGCCTCTCACCATTTGCCTGGCGGGTTCAGAGGCGCTGCTTTCCGCTCAGGGCCGGGCCTCGCCCCTCCATGCCACCAGCCGCCAGCCTGCGAGCTGCCAGACGGGCATCCGGGCCGGGCGCGGGGAGAGGAGGCCTCGGGGTCAGGCCGGGCGGCCGATTCCTCCGTCGCCCCGGCAACCAAGGCTCCGTCCGCGAGGAAGCGGCGGCGGCGGCGGCGCGGCGGTGGTGACGTCAGCGCCTCCTCATTGGTCCGGGGAAACTCCGCCTCCTGGAGGGGGGGGAAAAAAGAGAGAGAAGGGGAAACCCAATAGGGTTGGGTGGCTTGCTTGCTGCCGGGGCGCATGGGAGCTGTAGTCCCATCTCATCTGGAGCTGGGAGAAGCTGCCTTGCCCTGAATTCATTCCTTTTCCTGAGTTGGCCTTTCAGGATTAATCTTGGGCTTTCTTGTTGTAAAGGATGGATGGATGGATGGATGGATGGATGGATGGATGGATGGATGGATGGATGGATGGATGGATGGATGGATGGATGGATGGATGGATGGATGGAGAGATGGAGAGATAGAGATAGAGATAGATCAGTGTTTCTCAACCTTGGCAACTTTAAGATGTGTGGACTTCAACCCCCAGAATTCCCCAGCCAGTTTTGCTATCGGCTATGCTGACTGGAGAATTCTGGGAGTTGAAGTCCACACATCTTAAAGTTGCCAAGGTTGAGAAACACTGAGATAGATAGATAGATAGATAGATAGATAGATAGATAGATAGATAGATAGATAGATAGATAGATAGATAGATAGATAGATAGATAGATAGATAGATAGATGCAACAAATGATAGATAGATAGACAGATAGATACTCAATAGAGATAAGCAAACAATAGATAGATAAAGATATAGACACTCAATAAAGAGATAAATAGACAAAGAAGAGAGGGAGAGAGAGATGAATGCATGGATGCCACAAACGATAGATAGATGGATGGATGGATGGATGGATAGATCGATAGATAGATCAGAGAGAGACAAATGAGAAGATAAATGATAGAAAGGGTGGATTAAACAGAAGATAGATGATAGAAAGACAACAGAATAGAGATGGAGCTAGACCAGGGGTCCTCAACCTTGACAACTTTAAGACTTGTGGACTTCAACTCCTGACTGAATTCCTGGCTGAGGAATTCTGGGAGTTGAAGTCCACAAGTCTTAAAGTTGCCAAGGTTGAGGACCCCTGAGCTAGACAGAAGAGAGAGAGAGAAAAGATTTATCTTCTAAGTAGCCATAAGATACATAGATATAGAAGCTAGAAAGAGAGAGAGAGAGAAGGGAGTTATGTATATACATGTCTATACATATATTTCTATCCATTTATTTCTATTTCTTCCTTTTTTCCCCCAAAGCAAGTCTCACACTATGAAATGGCTTTGCTGGTGTTGTTACATTTTTTTTTTCAGAAAAGGAAGCCATGTATTGGTTCTTGTCTTCCTAGACTCCAAAGGTTCCTTGTGGGAGCAACCTCAGTAGGCTAGGAAAAGAAAAGTGTTACAATATGGATACTCATTTGAAAATGCAGAGAAGTCAGTTGCTATTAAAGGGTTTTGCAGGATATTTCTGGTCCATTCTTAGTCCTTTCCCCCATATCAACTGACTTGGGTTGTGTATGACTCTTTCTTCCATAATGTCCAAACTGGTTTTCCATTTATTTTTATCTTTTAGATTTATAATTTATATCTTGCATCCATTTTTAGAGCAAGGGTAATATAAAAAAACAAAGTAAAATGGACACAGAGTCAAAAGTGGAAAGAAAATCTGAGGTACGATGTTCGAGAATGGATTAAACCAGTGTTTCTCAAACTTGGCAATTTTAAGACATAGGAACTTCATTTCCCAGAATTCCCTAGCCAGCATGCTGGCTGGAGAATTCTGGGAATTGAAGTCCACAGATCCTGCAGTCGGCAAGTTTGAGAAACTGTGGATTAAACCAAAACCAATGCATTTTATGGCTCAGTTTAGAACAGGGGCCTTCAAACTTGGCCCTTTTATGACTTGTGGACTTCAACTCCCAGAATTCCTCAGCCAGGCATGCTGGCTGAGGAATTCTGCGAGTTGAAGTCCACAAGTCATAAAAGGGGCAAGTTTGAAGACCCCTGGTTTAGAACAACTGAATTTCTTTCCCTTGTCATAAAATCCAAACACGTTGGTATATGATGCAGGAAATATCCAAAGCTCTCTTTCTTTCCTTGGCCATAAGAATGTCATAATTCAATAGCCCAATCAAATCACTTCTTTCTCTTGATATCCTGCTTCAGCACCCTTCAGGTGGATGCTCTTCTCCTCCTGTGTGGGAGGACCAGTCGCTTTCAGTTAATATTATTAGAAATCAGCAAAACCCTGATGTGACACTCCTTCCTTCCAACACAGCCCTTCACACACCCCAGTTGTAGGGAAAGGGTCTGGATTTAAAAGCCCTCTAAGGACTGGTGATGATCAGATGTCACCTTCTGTTCTGTTCTTCAAAAGCCCTGGTTTCTTCCTTAGCGGGCGATCGGGAAGAAATTGCGATGCGTCTAACACGCCTTCCAAATCCCTGGAGTGTCACTATCTGGCAGGACCCAATCCTGTTATTATGACACACAAGAACCGGAGGCCACTACCACCACCACCACCACCCGTCCTTTCCTAAAACCCCAAGAAGCCGTACATGTATGCATGAATGTGCATGAACGAAATCAACCTCCATCCTTTGTGCGAGATTCACAATAACAGATCTGTGGCTCCCCCTCTCCCCAGGCAATCTTTACAAGCAAAGCAGGGGCAACGGTTGTGGGAAAGAGTTGCTACCGGTATGTACGGGTTGGAGGGTGGGGAGTAGTTAAGGATCCTGCCATTCCCCCCCCTCCCCCAGCAACTCTTCTTCCAGACTGATCCATGAGCCTGCTCTCTCCAGAGCCAAGCAGGCCCCCAAATCCGAGCTAACCACCCTCCCCTTCCACCCTACTCACAGCTACTGCCACCCTGATGGGGAGACCTCTGCGAGGGAATGCTCCAGGGGGACCAGCCAGGAGATGCTGAGCGCCAGACGGAGACCGTGGGACCAGCCTTCCCTGCAGGAGAAAATGGGTCACGAGAACCTCCAAGCTGCCCTGTCTGTTTTGGCAGAAACAAAAGGCTTGCCTTCCACCAGCTGCAGCTTTCTTTGTTGTTCTCTGCAAGCACCAGCCTGGCGGCCCAGATGGTTGTGCCCATGCTCGGTGCAACTCTGAGCTGGGGAGGGGGGGTGTCACGTGATCGTTCCCTGTCAGCAGAATGGTGCTTCGAAGAGGTCTGCTGGCGAAGGAGCCAGCCACACACCGGGATCTGTGCACGCACGGGGGGTGGCGCAAGAAAGCGCCAGCCGGCCTGAGTCTGATCAGAATGCAGCCCTTTTCGCCTGCTGGCTCCCAGGCCCCCTGGTGGGATTGGCACAGGTGTGCCACCAAAGGAGGAGGACAGGTGTCAAGGCTTTGAGCAGGCACATGGATGCGCTTTCTTTGAACAAATGCCAGAGGGGCAATCACTGAAGGAAAATATTTGCAGCTCGGGGTGGAAATGAGGGGTCCTTGGTGCTCTCTGAACTTGGTGGTTTTCTTGCAGATGTATCATTACCCAACTAGGTAACATCATCAGTGCTAGAAGAGAGTAGGGTGGGAGGAGGAGGAGGAGGAGGAGGAGGAGGACTGTAGGGTCCTTGGTGCTCTCTGAGTTTGGTTGTTTTCTTGCAGACACTTCCTTATGTTATAGGTAACATCATCAGTGCTAGAAGAGAGTATAATGGGAGGAGGAGGAGGAGGAGGAGAGGAGGAGGAGGAGAGGAGGAGGAGGAGGAGGAGGTGGTGGTCTTTGAGCTTGGTGCTTTTCTTGCAGATGTGTCATTACCCAACTAGGTAACATCATCAGTGCTAGTAGGGTGGGAGGAGGAGGAGGAGATTGTTTTTTAATGCTGTATATTATTAATGGTTATTTTCATTGCACACAACTCAGAAACTCATTACCTGAGTTTTGCAGTCTTATAAATGTACGAAACAAACAAACACATTAGGGTTTTATTTTTAGCACCATTGTTATCTGAACAACTGAATCTTTTTGTATTGCTCTGTTTGAATGTTTGTGGCAGGTGTTACCTCAAATAAAATATGCTATCATTTCTGCTATTAAGACGACTTAATATTGTAGCTTTTTTTTCATGTCGTTGGACACATACTGTACGCTTCACATACAGGGATGGTGTAGATTAATTATGTTGCTCTCTTCTGCTGTGGCTGGAGGCAAGAGCTTTTTTTTTACGCTCCCAAATTTGCAGCAACTAAGGACAGGACACTGCAACCGTCATAAATATGAGTCGGTGGCCAAACATCTGAATTTTGTTTACGTGGCTGTGGGGATGCTGCAAGAGTCGTGTGAAAAATGGTCCTAAGTGCCGTTATAATTTCAAATGGTCACTAAATGAATCATTGTAAGTCGGGGACTACCTGTATTCAGTTCTCCAACAAGTAAACACTTGAATGTAACTAGTCACAGAAGACAGCAACCCAGGTATGCCATTTTGTGTTTTTATTATTTGTTTGAAGGATCCAACAAAAGACAACTCCACTCTTACCAAGTCAAGAGTTTCACAATGCATCCTGGATAAATTCATAATACTGAACTGCTTCTAGCCACATGCAAAGACTCTCCATAACAAGCCATCTGCTTCCAGGCCAGCTTCTTCGTCCTTCTAGCCCACACGCTTGATGTAGTAGTCGGTAGTAGTAGCTCTCCAGCAATCCAGCAGGAGTTTTCCACATCACAGTACAACTTGATTCTTTTCTAGTGCAAGTTCCTGGGAATTAGATCTGCAACCTTTGCACATCAAACATCTGTTTTACCACCAAGAGACGGGCTCCGTTTCCTAAATCCTTTGTGTTTTCCAGTCTACTAGCCATCACAGTCTAGATAGCAAACTTCTCAATGCATCTGCTCTCCAATCAGCAACAGCAGAAATCCATCAATCCCGAGAGTCAGGTATAAAAAAACATCTAAGAGAACTCTATTCTCTTAGCTGAAAAATCACAACAGCCTTCTGTATCTGTAAAAATAAGGGCCCTTATTCAATCATGGGATGGAACCCACCAGAATTAATCTCATGAAACCTAGTTACGTTGATCAGGGCTTCTTGGCTGGCTATCAAGTTACAATCCACCATGATCTAAAGAGTGACACAGATGTGTAAATAACTCAGTTGAGGAATGGCATTTTGAAAGTCAGGGATGAAATAAAAGTGGCATTTGCGGCATTAGCTGATTTACTCCTTGTTGTAGTCAAACTTTCAAGCTGCCCCCAGGAAACGTTGATGGACACAATATTGGATTGTGCAGACTCTTGATCTCAAAGCCTCCATTGCTTAGGCAGCCGTGAAGAAGTAAAATAGATGTACCCAAGAGGCAGGAATGGATGAGCACGGAGCAGAATTCCAAATCTGGGAGGTGAGGGTGTGGATGCAGGGATATGGGCACAAAAGACTGGATTTGATGACACTCACATGGTCAATCTCAGAACTGACCACTCCCTATGTGGAGAAGGGTGATCTGGCACCCTTGAAGAATGCTTTAGAGTCCAACATGCAAGCTGTGGTTGAGTTGGCAAATATGGAGCGTACGATACAACCATTGTTGGATCCGCAGACCTCTGCCTGCAACCTTAGGTGGATCCTGCCTGCTCCATGCAACAAGGGCATGTAGACCACAAATGGTCCACCCAACCGTGGCTTTTGAGTCCTTCAGTGCAAATCACGGTTCTGCAGCCAGGCAATTGGAGGGCTGAGTAGAGACTGGGTAGAGCAAGGACATGTGTTCAGCCCCCTGGATGGGCAGCTTGTGGCTGGCGTAGTGGTGGATGACCTCTGGGATGTTGCTGAAGGGAGGGCTGTGCTGACCCAAGACAAATTTGTTGTCCTCAGTCTGCAAGAGTTTCATGTGAAGGAACCCTTGGCTGCTCCTAGGGAGAGAGAAGATGATCCTGTGTGAAGGATGCCAGCCATTCCCTTTTAGCAATAGCAGTAGCACTTAGACTTATATATACTGCTTCACAGTGCTTTTACTGCCCTCTCTAAGCGGTTTACAGAGTCAGCCTGTTGTTCCCAACAATCTGGGTCCTCATTTGACCGACCTCGGAAGGACGGAAGGCTGAGTCAACCTTGAGCCGGTGAGAATCGAACTGCTGGCAGTGGGCAGAGTCAGCTTGCAATGCTGCGTTCTAACCATTGCCACCACAGCTCTTAATAGCAATAGAACGTAGACTTATATACCCCTGCACTTTGCTTTACAGCCCTCTCTAAGCGGTTTATAGCATCAGCATATTGCCCCCAACAATCTAGGTCCCCATTTTACCGACCTCGGAAGGATGGAAGGCTGAGTCAACCTTGAGCCGGCCAGGATCGAACTGCTGGCAGTGGGCAGAGTTATCCTGCAATGCTGCATTCTAACCCCTGCGCCACCACAGCTTTTAAGATTGCGATACCTCCCCTTGCCGACAGGAGGAATCTTTCGCAATCACACACTCACTTGAGAGAGAGGGAAAAGGCATCGTGGCTACTTTCACTGTTCCGAACCAAGTAACTCGCTTCCCGGCAAAGTCGGAGAAGACTCTCGGCATCCACCCGACTCAAGGTCCCGTGATACCACCTGCAAAGAAGAGATTCCTTTTTTTTTCCTTTCAAAAAAAAATGTATTCAAAAATTGAAAATACAAATCTCCAAAAATAAAAAATAAAAATACAAGCAAAAAACCCCCCACAAACAAAATGGATAAAATGTTTAAAACAAATGGCCATTAAAAAGGAAACAAACAAACAAACACATATGCATATATATTTATATGCAAAGAAAGGATTCCTGTACAAGGGCAGGGGTCTCTCTGGGGAGTGAGGTGGGTGGTCTCTAAATCAGCCTACTTACGCTTGGCTCTCTAGTGGCAGTGCAGGATTGACATATTCGCCAAAAGCCACCCCAGCCTCCGGGCTCAGCCAGCAGGGGGCGCTCTTTCCCTCTAGGCACGCCGGCGCAGGGCTTTTCACCGTTGCTGCACCTCGGAGCAGAAGCACATAATGGAATGTGAAAGGAGGAGCAGGAGTTGTGGGACGCGGCTGCAGGACCAGAGTGAAAGGCAGGATCAGGCCCCGGGGGAGGGGGAATTATGGGAGGGGGGAATGAGATGGAGATAAAACTATAGCTGAGGATGTGGCAAAGACGGGGGGTATCTGCAGTGGGATCAAGAGCATTGTTACAATTGAGGCCCCACCTCTTTTGGACACATCCCGGGTTGCGATAGAATGGAGAGAGGAGGTGATTTTCCCAGGAGGGAGGGGCTGCATGCCAAAGGAGCGAGAGGCAACTCAGCCCAGATATTTTGTGGGAGAGAAAGAGGGTGAAGACAGCTTCTCCTCAATAGTTCCCAGAGTATACTGTAGAGCAGACATGTCAAACCCAACGCCCGAGGGCCGGATGCGGCCCGCAAAGTGGTTTCATGTGGTCCACGAAGCCATCCTGGAAACAGTGAGGGAACGGCCCCCGCTGCCTTGGCCCTGGCCCAGGCCAGCCGGGAGCCAATGTACAATTTTGTGGTGGCCATCTATGCTGAAACGCATTCAGTCTTAGCTCCACAAGGCCGTCTGGAAACAGCGAGGAACCAGCCCCTGCTGTGTCGGCCCTGCCCCCTGGGTGCATGCCGGGGAGGGGTCACCCGTTGTGAGGAATGAAGAAATGGACCATTGCCTGGAAGTGGCCAGCAAATAGCCCTTGCCTACTTCACATATATGGCTTGATGGGCTCCAGGGGAGGGGTTTCGGCAGGCAGCGGGGCGCTCTCCTCACAGGACCAAGAGGCTGAGCCGGGTGGACCATGCCTTGGCACTTGCCCTGGTCCCACCCCCTTCTGCCAGAGACCCTCAGATCTGTCCCACTCCTGCCCAGGCCCCCACAGGCACCCTTGACGCGAACAATGTAGAGCTGGCCATGCCCACCCAGTAGGCCACACCCACTCCATCCACGCCCCCAGTAGACTGCACCCACCCTGGCCACACCCACCCGGCCCCCTGAGGGCAACCGCAATGCTGATGCAGCCCTCAATGAAATTGAGTTTGACACCCCTGCTGTAGAGGCAGATAGGAGAGTCCTCAGGCTGGCCAGATTCTGCCCATAGGTGTGGGACAATAAAGAACTCCGCTGGGTTAAGAATTGCCCCCTGTCATTCTTGATTTTGGGCCTGAGGTGTTCTGGGACTTGAAGTCCATACACAGTGGCTGCTGAATTCTGGGAGTTGAAGTCCACAAATGATGTGATGGAATGCCGTGGGGAGGTAGATTCCCAGGAAGGAAAGGGTGCATTCTAGAGGAGGAACTCAACCCTGATATCATGTGGGAGAGAAAGAAGGTGAAGACAGGCCCTCCTCAAAAGTTCCCAGAGTATATCGTGGAAGCAGATAGGAGAGTCTTCAGTCTGGCAAGATTCTGTCTCTGGGTGAGGAAGATTCACTGCGTGTCACTCCTGATTTGGAGCCTGACGCTCACATGTGGAAAAAAAAAAGGTGGGTGTGTGAAGCTTTGAATAAGTGGCTACAACCAGCTTGACTCCCCCCCTCCTGCAAAATGACCCCTCTGGACACAGGACGAAGCCCCAGTTCTGTCTCCTGCAAATACTGAATTTGCTCTCGGTCCCAGTTGGGCTAATGCAGTGGTGGCGAACCTATGGCACATGTGCCAGAGGCGGCACTCGGAGCCCTCTCTGTGGGCACACGTACCGTTGCCCCAGCCTCGCCTCCCCCATGACCCCCTCCTCACCAGCAGCCCCCCTAGAGGAGAGTCGCCCCCGAGCGTGGCCCACATGGAGCAGCGCAGCCAAGGACATGGCAGCCGGGCAGCGTGGACAAGACTCTGCCCTCACACCCCATCATGCAGTTGATGCTGCAGGGCGCGGGCAGAGGGCGTGGCCGCCATGGTGCTGCTGGGCTGCCTGGGTAATTTGCAGTGGGCCCTGGAGGTGGTGAATGGCCCTGGGGGCAGGCAGGGCGGGGGGCAGAGTGGGGGCAGGGCAGGGGGTGGACCGGGGGCAGAGCCAGTTTTTGGGCACTCGGCCTCTAAAAGGTTCGCCATCACTGGGTTAATGCAATCTGGCAATGTGATGTCACTCTGCTGATTGCAAATGAAAGCAGAGGAAAGCTCAGACCCGTGAAGGTCAGCAGGCAGAAGTTCTGAAAGGTCAAGGTGGGAAGACAAAGGAGAAAAGTGGAGAAAAATTGAAGGTCAAGGAGCTTCAAACTAAACCTGCCCTGGATGGCCTTGGAAAGATAAAAAACTACAGGCAGTCCTCGACTTACATTGTAAGTTCTGACGGCCATTAAATGGGTCACCAAGGTGACCCTGTCTGATTTTACGGTCTTTTTGCAGTGGTCATTAAATGAACCCGTTTTACTCAAGGGGCAATTTTTGCCAGAAACCAAAAGTAAAGACTGGAAAACTGACAAAAAGCACGTAGACTCACAGTCCCGTGTCTAAAGGACACTGGAAATGGCCATAAATATGAGTGGTTTCCAAGCATCTAAAATGCAATCGCTTGCAGGGAGAGGGGCACAGCTGTCAGAACCCCGGAACCGGGTCGTAAATAGAGCTGGGGAGGTCCGTTGTAAGTTAACTCTGGATGATTGTTAAGTAACTGTTCATTAAACGAACAGTTGATGGTGCAGTTGCCATTATGCTAAAAACCTATGTCCTCGGTGATACTATTTCAAGGGCTGTAACACACAAACACCTTTGTTCACGCAACCAGCTTACTCACTATTGACTTCCAGGGGACAGGACGAAGCAGAAGAGTCCGGAGTGCTGGGGCTGGCATTCTGGAGGCCCGGGGGAGCATCTCTGGAGCTGGTGCTTTGGAGAAGGAGATGTTTCTCAGCGTCTGGCGGGTGAGTTGAACCATCCAGCTGTCCAACTGGTGGAGGCCACGGCAAGTCCTTGATCCCTTCCATCTCCACTGGGTGAGCCATCAGGAGAGAAGAGAACAATTTGAGGAGGGGAGGGGGGGGGCTGGCTGGCTGAAGAGGTTCAGAGAGCAGGAGGAGATCATCCAGGGTAGTGACGATGGGTGGGAGAAGACCAGGTTAAGTCCAATTCTCGGGGCCTCTCCCACTCAGATGATGGGAAAGAAAGGTGGAGAGAATCGGCTGGGGGTTCTGTAATAGACTACGGGCAATGCATCTTGCAAAGGGGGCGGAGGGGGGAGAGGGCTCAAGGAGGGAATGAACAAATTGATGGAAGGGGGTTGGCCTCCATTTTATTTCTGTTCTGATCTACACCTAACCCGAGCTGCCTCATGAGAGGAAGGGAGGGAGGGGAGGAGGGCGACGAGAAGGAGGAGGAGGAAGAGAAAGAGGAACAGAGGAAAAGGAGGAAGAGGAGGAGGAGATGAGGAGGAGGAGGAGGAAGAGAAGGAGGAGAAGGAGATGAGGAGGAGGAGGAGGGGGAGGAGGAGGAGGAGGAGGAAGAAGAGGAGAAGGAGA